GCGAAGGGACTCCCACCCGCTTCACCCTGACTGTCCGGGAAGGGGATTCCTGGTGTGGGAGTGCCTGTAAGAAACTGGGGACACCAGAGACCACTAAGAAATTTGTTTACAGTGTTTGTCCCCTTCACCCCAGTACTTTCTCAAGCTTCAAGCCTTACCCAGAATCTGCAATTTCTCAGTCCGCTGAGAAGAACCCCTGGTCCCCGCTTTCTACCGAAGGCGAGACCGAGTACTCGAGGTATATCGAGGTGAAATTACTCAAGGCCGCTGGAACAGTTATTTTTCCGGGTTTTCCCAGCTGGTTTCTTCTGCATCTTGCCCCTACACCCATCTTTCCTAAAGTGAGACCTTCCGCAGGGCAATACTGTTAAAGTTAAAATTTGTAAAGGAAAATCCTAACGGGAGGAGAAGAAAGAGTTTTTTAGTCTTTTTTTTTTGTAAATGTGTACTGATTTTATACATTTTTCAAAAAAGAAAAAAAATGGCTAGATCTTTGCCTTTTTCCTCTTGCCTTCTGAATCCGGAATTTTTAATAGTTAAGGCTTCTCATAAAGCAATAGCATAAAAGGAGTTCACTACCTCGTACCATCATTATTTATGAGGACTTTTTTTTCTTAGTTTATTTGAGCTTTGAGGTAAGTTAATTAAGTAACTGAATCAAGTTCCTTTTCTTTCTTTTCTTTTTTCTCTTTCTTTTACTTTTTTTCCTCCCTTCCTTCCTTCCTTTCGTTTTTCTTTCTTTTTTATTCTCCAAAGCTGGTTCATTGTCCTAAGAAGCAGTAAACTGTTAGGGGCACCATAGGAAACATTCCCCTCCCAGCCCCCTTTCTCACCTCTCCCCACCCCCCTCTTTTTCTCCAGTTGTAATGGTTTTAAGTTATGACTGTTTTTACATGGTTGAACAATAAGTTTGGGAGAAGCTGCCTAGAGGGTAGATTTTGTAATAGGGTTACAGGATTTAGTATGTTGTAATAATATTAGTACACAACTAATCCTCCTCCATGTCTGATTTACAGGAAGGCCTTACACACTCCAGTTCTTTTTATTTGGGAGCAGTTGTAAGATACATGGAATTGAGAGATCACCGCAGGTCTCAAAGTTACCTTTAAAAAGTCACCACATTTTCTGCGGTGTATTCAGCCATCTCCTTTCGTCTCTCCACATAGCACACACACTTCAAGGAGGCGTTGGAGTTTGTTTTTGGGTTTAGGGGTTGGTTGGTTGGTTTTTTACCTGCATAAAGCTTGTTAAATTTTTAGACGTTAGACCTTTACTTAAACAGTGTGGATACTTTTTCTCCTGTCCTCACACAGGCTTAAAATGTGCCACATGAAATGTGGAACATACCATGTTAAATCTAGTTGGGACTCTTAGCAGATGACTCCAGTTTCACAACCTCTGCCCAGAGTGGGACCTAGAAAAGTTTGGAGACCCCCATTTCAGTAGCCCTGAAGGAGCGACTCCCAAGGCTGGGCACAGCCAGAGTCGCTGCATGTCACGCCTGTGTGTGTCTGAGTGTGTGCGCGCGTACAAAGAAAACCCGAGCCAGGCTCTACAGCACCAACAATAACTTCATCAGAACAAGTTCAAGAAAACAAGATTATTTGGTCAGCCTTCCAATGTTCGTATTCTAATTCTACTTCGGTGCAGCTGTAATACCAGAAACACCCTAAAATGAACTTGGGAATTTTCCTGTTTCTTATGAAACCAAGATGATGTATGAAACCAAGAGACACATAGTACTTGTCTCTTAAATGATATTCAACAAGTCTCAGATGACTTGTGGAGGGATGACTGCCACTGTGAAAATTATTTACTGAGGTAATTCTGAGGAAGGGGAACATTAGAATCTGAGGATTTCATATGTGGGTTCTTTACTAGAGATTTGGATTTCAGGAGTGTATATGGGTATGTGTGTGTGTATGTGTTGGGTTTTTCTTCCTTGGGTGGTGGTTTTAAAATTCCTGGAGCTAAATGGATGGCCCATTCAGACTCCATTCATTTCAGTGCGTACATAGCTTTTTCAAGGAAAAGATAATATTGGAAGAAAGATAAAAACATCACGAACTGCAGATAAAACATTGCCTCTCATATAAAGTATCATAAAAATTCCTCTTATTTATATTAATAATGAAATTCTATTATTTACCAAACTAATTTACTCATTGTGAGCAGCTTAATGGCAACACATTGATTTTTAGGCCCAAAAGGTTAGAGAGAACCATAATTAATTGCTTTTTTTGAAAAACCGACACCTGCAAGATAAGGCAGTTGGAAAGAATTCATGTTTAATCAGGCCCATTTTAAGTTTGTGGCCTAAAGGAAGATTTTGGATGAGAAAATGCAAACTGTTTGGGGGGTATTTGCTTCAGGCTGCACATTCTTCCTCAAATGTGAAAAAACAAGCATACAAACAAGTGAAGTGTAGCTGGACAGAGAGAGTGTGCATGAAAGTGAATTTGTGACTGAATGTTTTGTGGTTTATTTCACGTCCAGTGTCACCTATGGTTTATAGACACAAGTGCCAATTTATAGGTCCTTCTTTGGGGACTTTATTTCATGTTTTTCTTCTTTTGCGGTAGCAAGTTGTCTCAGCCAGCAGTCTTTTAGAAAGCAGGAAACGTGAAGTTCTAACACAGAGATCTTACTGAAAACCTGGGGAAGAAATAGGTAGACCAGTTGCTCAGTTTTTTGAAATTGTGAAAAGCCAGGCATACAGTAGGAACTAGGGTTCATTTCTTCCACAGACTGAATTCGGTTTTTCTAAGGTACCTCCTGATGCAGTTAGCCCCATCTTCTAAAATATTTTTCGATTACCAAAACTGCAGTCCTCCAGCAGTTGAGTGAAGGAGATGGGAAATTCTTATCCCAAGAACCAGCACCCCTCCCCCTCCAAAAGAAAAAAAGTCGGTGTGCCAGGCTTTGGAAAAACTCGATGTGTCGAGCTGTTTTAACCTCTGCTAGCCTCCTCCCATGCAGAGGTGACAAGGTCCAGATCATAATATGTCCTTCAGTATCTTCTCAGTGACCCCCAAATTGAGTCTTGCTAGTCACTTAGCAGGAAGTTAGTAGTTTATTTTAGTTTCACCTTATCAGCTTGGCTTCTTTCCCTAACCTTATTCCCCTGTCACCCTCAGATGCCAGACCCCCAAAGGGGAAGATTGACAGGTAGTTCCCATAGCTCAGTTTTACCCTCAAACAACAGGGATTTAGTTTCTTGTGCCTTTGCCAATGTTTATGTAGTCAAAGTTTAGATCTCGCCTTAAGCAGTCTCTTTTACGCGTCACTGGAATAGGAAAGCCACAAAGAAGTTTTTGAACAAGCCCTTGCAACTGGAACCCCATCTAGTGTTCAGTCTGATTCATCCAAGGGGAAGACATTTTCCCCTTTCATTTATTGTGGACATTAGGTGGGCTGGTATCATGCGTTTCAAAGGACTGTCTTGTCCGTGTTGTTATTTTTGTAGAGACTTCACTTGCCCTCGTCCACTCAGGAATACACTAATCCCGGTCAGAACACCGAGGGAACTTGGAGGGGGCCAGGAAAACGTGTCCTTTGGTTACAGATCGCATAGAAGAAACTTAAGACAGTGCCGAAAATATGCAGCGCATATGTGGGAGTGTTTAAAATTGCTTTGGAATCTTAAGCTGGACATTCAGACGCAGGCTTTTCCCAGGTCTGTGAAAGAAGAAGAAAGGGGGGGGGGGAGAGAAAAGACCAATCGATCAAAAATGTGTGTGATAGCCCTTCTAAATTGGTCTACGAAAAGGAATAGCCTATTAAAATGACAGGCTCCAAAATCACAATCTGGAGAGGTTTTCTTAAAAATGTGAGTGTGACCTGAAGGTAATGAGAAGTAAAAGTGCCGGATCTTTCCAAGAAGCGCCAAAAAAGAAAACTAAACATGGAACAGGAGGGCTGTTGTTCTGTGTTGTTTTGTTTTGTTTTGTTTCCTGGCTGGCAAAACCCTTCAGTGTGGGGCATAGTTTTATTTTGGTTGCCTCAGCAGACAGTTACACGGGAACCCTTCAGCGCTCTGCCTCCTGTCCTGCAGGGTTTCAGTTCAGATGATGAAAAACTGACACATTTAAACTGAGCATCAAGTACCTAAATAGTACAATAAGAACTAAAACATCTGGGATTTTCATATAAATTGGAAGGAGCTATAAGATCACCTCTTCCCCTGACCCAGAGGAAAACAACAACAACAAAATTCTAAATATCTTTTTTGTGCGTACCTACTTAAAAAACCACCACTTCTTAAATTTTCCTATAAGGCCAGGATTACAAATAACTTTAACCTGTGTGCAGCATCCATGGAAGAGGAACTGGAATGTTATTTTCACCATAGTACAGGGATCGAGGCAACTGTATTTACTATAATGGGGTCACCAGTTGCAATCCTGTGTAACAGATTATTGCAAGAGATACAAGATAGCAGACGATTCAGAAAATGAATTAGAACATGTGAGTTTGTGTGTGTAAGTGTGTGTGTGTGTGTATGTGTGTATCTGATTACAACTTAAAATACTCCCTTTGGTAGTTAAAGATTCAGACTAGTCCTCATGTTTTGTCGTTTTTTTAAAAAGCTGGTTCATTGGAATCCTGTTCAGAATGCAGATAGATTTATTAAAGTTAGAACTGTTACAGTGTAGCGACACCTGCTTTTGAAATAAATCAAAATAGATAGCAGGATTATTTTTATTTATTTTTTTTTTGGTGTTCATAAACATCAGGAAATTAAATTAGTTGACTCTACAGTGAGATCAAATGTCAGCTTATTAAAATGTTGTGAAAATCCAAGCTAAAATATGGGCAGCTTTTTTTTTTTAACACAGTCTCTTTCTTAGAAGCAAGCAGGCATTTATTTTTAAGTGTCTATATTTTCCATCCAGTTAGCACAATCCCAAATATAAAAACGTTCAGGTTGAAAAACTTGAAAATTCTCAAGTGAGTCTTGAAGTAGCACAAATGCAGACCTTGAGCACAGGAAGGTAATAATCAGCTAAATCCTGTAAAGTAACCTTCTTTTTATTTTCTCTCTATATTATGAGAATATCAGATGTTTGCAAGTTATAAAGAATTAAAATGCCCTTTAATCGTGAGCACAGATGTGCTAAATATTTGAAGCAACTACATTGTAATGTGTACAATTGATGAAGTCAGTTTTCTGATTTCCCTTGCTAGTTATTTAGTTCTGAATCTGTCATTATTTGTCTAAGCCCAGCTGACCAAGCAAAACTGTGTTTTAAAGTGGCTTTATGTTTTGATAAATGTGAGCTGGTTGAAAAGTATTTTCCACTGAATGCAGAGCTTAATAGAACATGCTGACATAATAGTTTTAATGCATTTTGTTGAAAATGTGTGAACAAACAGAATAGCTTTTGTTCCTTCATAATTGGCTGTAAAAGTAGATGGAAACATAACCATTACATATGGAAATGTGCAAAGAGAAAGAAATAACGTTTCTGTTGAATATATTAGGAATTGCATTTCCTAGTTTAAAATAAGCATCTGAGATGGATGCATCATTTAAAATTGGTTGTCAAAATAAGAAGCTTTAGACAGAATTTTTGTCACATTATTTTTGTCCCAAGTGAAGCAACATAACTTTAGCGAATTTCGTTTAATATTTTGTTGATATTATTTTAAGGCAGGGAGAGAGACAGAAAGTGCTTAAAACAGCACCTTGAAGGTGCATAGGAATCCTGTGCCGAGTTAGGGTGATTAAACATTAAATTAAAACTGAATCATTATTGGTATGTTCTGCTACAACTCAGATTTGTTTGGTATTGTTAACGCATTTTGCACTATACCCTTGTGGAGATTAAAAGATGGGTATTAGGAAAGCTGGCTTGTTAAGTAGAACTTAGCTACTCAAATAACACTCCCAGTGAATAGAGTGGCATATACTGGCATACTTTACCAGCGCTCTAACCGGCATCACTCAAGGCAGACAGAGTTAAGGAATTTTCAGAAGTTAGTATTTGGATATTAATTATATTTTCTGGAATGCAAAACTACTCAAGCTTGCTTTCTTTCTTTTCTCTCTCTCTCTCTCTCTTTTTTTTTTTCCCCCCTTTTTGATGTTTACTACAAAGAGGGCAAATGGCTGGCTCTTTTGAGTTGACTCTTAAGTTTACCCAAAAAAAGCAGCATTTTGATTTTGCATTTATTCATATTTGCAATTAGTTTTTTTTTTTTTTCCCTGCAAGTTTTCCGGTAGGTTCAATTTGGAAGTCATGGAAACTAACTATTATCTGATTCAGTTCTGCAGAAAAGCATGCAGGGAGGTAATCCTTGAATTAAACAGTTTTTTTTTTTTTCCACAGCCTTCGGAGATGACCACACACCATTTGTACAACAGAAGTTGGTGTTCCCCATGCTGGGCAAACAATGGGACGCCATCCTGTCTTTGAATAGGATGTTAGCTTGGAGTTGGAGATTTTTATGTTTAATTTACAAATGGATCTTAGTGAGAAGAAATCTGAGCAACCAGTGGAAACAAACATGAAATAAAGGGATTTTATAATGAAAGGTTCAGGACAATCTGTTAAACAATTGATAACAGTTAAGAGCAAACTGTTTTTAAAGGCATTCAGACGGGGAGAATGGCGAAGCATTTCCAAACTGGAAACCAAGAATTATTTCTTCGCCTTCCCTTAACTGCACTTCTTTAAGCTGATGTTTAATCAGAAATGTAAATCTTGTGCCAGTTTTTATAGATGCAAAGAGCAATTTTGATGGAATATTTAGAGGCATGATATTGCCATTTGAAGCATGGTGGCATATATTCCTTGATTAGTGGAGTGGTAGCCACGGTTGCATTCTTTACTTTTAAAAATAAACGTGCCATGGGGTGATATATAGGTGCCAGGCAGGCCTTGTAACGGATTATGACCATTGTGTTTCTCTGGGGTGCGCGCGTGTGCACGTGGGCGTGCACGCATTGCTTTCTCTTTTGTATTCAACTGAGTCCCGAGCTGTCTGGAGGATTTGTTACTGATGTGGCTACAGTGTGTTTGTCACGAATCAGACTTAGCTCAGGTTCTAGGTAGGGGCTGGAGGTGATTTTCAAGTTGTCAGTCTTCAGCCTGGTGATACGCATTTTTTTTTTCCCCTTGTCAACCACTGATTGGAACCTGAATGACTACAAATTAGTTTAGTGACAGAACAAACTGTCACAGATATCTTTGAATCAGTTGAAAATGAATAAGGTTGACAGAAACTCAGGAGCCTAATAAGTCCTCAGGATGGTGGCTGGACCCTCTCTGGATGAGCAGACAATAAGGTGTATAAATATTGGAAATCAATATTTTGCTATGGAATTTCATTATGCACCGATGTCCGCAGTTCATAGTATTTTATATTTTGATGGATGACCTGAAGGCCGTGGCTCTCTGAGATACCATCTTGATAGGAAGGCCTTCAACATCCTTAAAATTTAATTATGAGCGTTCTTAGGGAATATTGATTGTGTTTCAGGGGCCCTAGTTTTGAGTTTCCAGGGTAGAAAAGAGTTGCCTGACCTCTTCCTCTCGTGTCGAAGTCATAGATGGCTCTGGGTGTCCCAGTTCCCTCGCTAACCCGTCTCCTTCTGACATTTGCAGGAGACACGGAGAAGGGTCAACCCAATCGCACCCCCAAGAGCAAGGACGCCCACGTCTGCGGCCGGTGCTGCGCCGAGTTCTTTGAATTATCAGATCTTCTGCTCCACAAGAAGAACTGTACTAAAAACCAATTAGTTTTAATCGTCAATGAGAGTCCCGCCTCCCCACCCGAAACCTTCTCCCCCAGCCCCACTCCCGAGAACCCTGAGGAACAAATGAGCGACCCGGTGAACAAAGCAGAGCAGGTCGACGGCAGTGACCTTCCGGAGCACCACGGACCGGACAGGGACGAGTCCATGGAGGTGGAGGCCCCGGTGGCTAACGCGGGCGGCAGTGGCACCCTGAGTGGCAGTGCCAGCAGCGCCACCCCGAGCTGCGGCAGCAGCTCCTCCACAGGTACCTCAGCGATCACAACCTCTCTACCTCAACTCGGGGACCTGACGACACTGGGCAACTTCTCCGTGATCAACAGCAATGTCATCATTGAGAACCTCCAGAGCACCAAGGTGGCAGTGGCCCAGTTCTCCCAGGAAGCAAGGTGCACGGGGGCCTCTGGAGGCAAGCTGGCCGTCCCCGCCCTGATGGAGCAGCTCTTAGCGCTGCAGCAGCAGCAAATCCACCAGCTGCAACTGATCGAACAGATTCGTCACCAAATATTGCTGTTGGCATCTCAGAATGCAGACCTGCCAACATCTTCTAGTCCTTCTCAAGGTACTTTACGAACAGCTGCCAACCCCTTGTCCACACTAAGTTCCCATTTATCTCAGCAGCTGGCGGCAGCAGCTGGGTTAGCACAGAGCCTTGCTAGCCAATCTGCCAGCATCAGCGGTGTGAAACAGCTCCCCCCCATCCAGCTACCTCAGAGCGGTTCTGGCAACACCATCATTCCACCCCAGTCCCACAGCGGCTCTTCCCCCAACGTGAACGTGCTGGCGGCAGCAGGTCCCACCCCATCCTCAGAAAAAGTGGCTCCGAGTACTGGTGCCTCCCACGCCAGCAGCCCGGCAGTCTCAGCATCGTCCTCACCAGCTTTTGCAATAAGCAGTTTATTGAGTCCTGCGTCTAATCCACTTCTACCTCAGCCGGCCCCTGCTAACTCGGTTTTCCCCGGCCCTTTGCCCAACATCGGCACGACGGCAGAGGATTTAAACTCCTTGTCTGCCTTGGCCCAGCAGAGGAAAAGCAAGCCACCAAATGTCACCGCCTTCGAAGCGAAAAGCGCTTCCGACGAGGCGTTCTTCAAACACAAGTGCAGGTTCTGCGCGAAGGTCTTCGGCAGCGACAGTGCCTTGCAGATCCACCTCCGCTCCCACACCGGGGAGAGGCCCTTCAAGTGCAACATCTGCGGGAACAGGTTCTCCACCAAGGGGAACCTCAAAGTCCACTTTCAGCGCCACAAAGAGAAATACCCTCACATCCAGATGAACCCCTACCCCGTGCCTGAGCATCTGGACAACATCCCCACTAGTACCGGCATCCCCTACGGCATGTCCATTCCTCCTGAAAAGCCAGTCACCAGCTGGCTAGACACCAAACCGGTCCTGCCCACTCTGACCACGTCCGTCGGTCTGCCGTTGCCCCCAACCCTCCCGAGCCTCACCCCCTTCATCAAGACCGAAGAGCCAGCCCCGATCCCCATCAGCCAGTCTGCCGCCAGCCCCCCGGGCTCCGACAAAAGTGACTTGGGGGCCCCCGAGCCGGCCCTGAGAAACCCGGGTGGGCTCCCGGAGGAAGCTGAGGGCCCCACTGGGCCACCCTCCAGTGGCAAAACTGAAGAGAGTGGCGGGGTCACCAGCTCAGCCCCAGCCCTGAGCGCAGGTGCACTGAGCTCCCTTGCGCCCGACAGTGGCCCGGGTGGCACCTCCACCTTCACCAACCCTTTGTTGCCGCTCATGTCCGAGCAGTTCAAGGCAAAGTTTCCTTTCGGGGGACTCTTGGACTCCACCCAGGCCTCAGAGACATCCAAGCTTCAGCAACTGGTGGAAAACATTGACAAGAAGGCCACTGACCCCAATGAGTGCGTCATCTGCCACCGGGTCCTCAGCTGTCAGAGCGCCTTGAAGATGCACTACAGGACCCACACGGGGGAGAGGCCCTTTAAGTGCAAGATCTGTGGCCGGGCTTTCACCACGAAAGGGAACCTGAAAACCCACTACAGCGTGCATCGCGCTATGCCCCCGCTCCGAGTCCAGCACTCCTGCCCCATCTGCCAGAAGAAGTTCACGAACGCTGTTGTGCTACAGCAGCACATTCGAATGCACATGGGAGGCCAGATCCCCAACACCCCAGTCCCTGACAGCTACCCCGAGTCCATGGAGTCTGACACCGGCTCCTTCGATGAGAAGAATTTCGATGACCTGGACAACTTCTCCGATGAAAACATGGAAGACTGTCCCGAGGGCAGCATCCCGGACACGCCCAAGTCCGCGGATGCATCCCAAGACAGCCTGTCTTCCTCGCCTCTGCCTCTTGAGATGTCGAGCATCGCCGCTTTGGAAAATCAGATGAAGATGATCAATGCTGGCCTGGCTGAGCAGCTGCAGGCCAGCCTGAAGTCGGTGGAGAACGGGTCCGTCGAGGGGGACATCCTGACCAACGATTCATCCTCGGTGGGCGGTGACATGGAGAGCCAAAGTGCTGGCAGCCCGGCCATCTCAGAGTCTACCTCTTCCATGCAGGCTCTGTCCCCATCCAACAGCACCCAGGAGTTCCACAAGTCACCCGGCGCCGAGGAGAAGCCACAGAGAGCAGCAGCAAGTGAGTTCGCCAACGGTTTGTCTCCCACCCCAGTGAATGGTGGGGCTTTGGATCTGACATCGAGTCACACCGAGAAAATCATCAAAGAAGATTCTTTGGGGATCCTCTTCCCTTTCAGAGACCGGGGGAAATTTAAAAACACTGCTTGCGACATTTGTGGCAAGACATTTGCTTGTCAGAGTGCCTTGGACATTCACTACAGAAGTCATACCAAAGAGAGACCATTTATTTGCACAGTTTGTAATCGTGGCTTTTCCACCAAGGGTAATTTGAAGCAACACATGTTGACACATCAGATGCGAGATCTACCATCACAGCTCTTCGAGCCCAGTTCCAACCTTGGCCCCAATCAGAACTCGGCGGTGATTCCCGCCAACTCGTTGGCATCTCTTATCAAAACAGAGGTCAACGGCTTTGTGCATGTTACTCCTCAGGACAATAAGGACACCCCCGCCAGCCACGTTCCTGCTGGGCCTCTGTCATCCTCCGCCACGTCCCCAGTGCTGCTCCCAGCTCTGCCCAGGAGAACCCCCAAACAGCACTACTGCAACACGTGTGGCAAGACCTTCTCCTCGTCGAGCGCCCTGCAGATTCACGAGAGAACTCACACTGGAGAGAAACCCTTCGCTTGCACGATTTGTGGGAGAGCCTTCACCACAAAAGGCAATCTGAAGGTATCTCGCTCCATCTGTACCTCACCCAGACCCACCCCCACCACCCGCTTTCCCTTGTGGCCACTGAATATTTGTAATGCACGCTCCCAGAGTCGTCGGCCCAGAGAATCAGGGAGACAGCTCTGGCGAGGGAACCGGCTGCATGTGGCTGATCTGGAGAAATGTGGGTGCCTGGGCAGGTCAGGCTCACAGCGGGGACCAGGGCAGGCTGCAGCTGGCTGGATGTCAGAGTGCATTGAATAATCTGGTACCTAAGTGGTGCAGCAGCCTAGCTCTGTTGTCTTGCTAAGTGCACCAAATGAATCGCTTTACCCACCAAGTGAGACAGCCCAGCGTTGCCATGGGGTATTGATTAAAGATCTCCATGTGGCCTGCGTGCAGCCCGTATCACTTAATAATTACAGTTCTCCTCGGCGTGTGCATCTACTTTTTTCATAACTACGTGGCCCAGCACGGTTTGTCTTTCTAAAAACAGTAATGTCACCACTCTGCTAATGGGTATTATGATAATTGATTATACAGCATTTCCTACTGATACGTGCTGGAAAGAAAGCAAATATGCTTAAGTTCTAGAGCAACAGTTGAGCACTCTGACTGTGTACATTTTTCTGTTGACAGAGTATTTCTCTAGAGATCGCTGCCAGTAATGCGAGATGAATAATTACTTTCTGGCTTTTTCTCTCCACGCACGGGCCCTCCAATGGGCAATCAGTGAGGGGCACTTTCTTCCCATCTGAAAAGGACATTTATAGGGTAAAGGGTGTCAGATACAATACTTACCATTGCAATGAGAGTGGACATAACAATTCTAACCCTGAAAGGAGCTATCTGCGACTGACTGGCTTGCTTGAGGCCATTATAAGCTAAATGCAGGTAATAAAAAAAGAGTAACTAAGGCATCCTGGCCCAGGCAGAGGAGAGGCCGCCCAGGGCTGCTGTAGAGAGCGAGCACCTTATTACTAGTGGACTGGAGGGGACGGTTCCCCTTACCCTCCCCACTGTCTGGCACATAATAAGAATAGACATTGCGGCCACTTGCTTTGTTGAGTGTTGGGTTGTGAGTTGAGACAGATTCAACTATTAAGCCTCTCCTTTCCTCTCTCCCCCTGCCCCTTTTCCCCTCCTCCTCTCTCTCCCCTCATCCCAGGTACACATGGGCACTCACATGTGGAATAGCACCCCTGCCCGCCGGGGTCGGCGGCTCTCCGTGGATGGCCCCATGACATTTCTAGGAGGCAATCCTGTAAAGTTCCCAGAAATGTTCCAGAAGGATTTGGCGGCCAGGTCAGGCAGTGGGGATCCTTCCGGGTTCTGGAATCAGTATGCAGCAGCGCTCTCCAACGGGCTGGCGATGAAGGCCAATGAGATCTCTGTCATCCAGAACGGGGGCATCCCTCCCATTCCGGGCAGCCTGGGCAGCGGGAGCAGCTCGCCGGTCAGTGGGCTGACCGGGAACCTGGAGAAGCTCCAGAACTCAGAGCCCAACGCACCCCTGGCCGGCCTGGAGAAGATGGCAAGCAGCGAGAACGGGACCAGCTTCCGATTCACCCGCTTCGTGGAAGACAGCAAAGAGATCGTCACGAGTTAAAGGCACCCGGGCAGGAGGAAGAAAGAGCCTTCCTGTTCAGAAGGAGACCCACGGTGGCCTCCAGCTCCTCACCCCGTGCCCCCCAGTTTCTGGTCCCCCCACCCCCCGCCCGATCTCTGAACTACAACATTCTGCAGACATTCTTTTGTACTTCGTTCAACTTCTAGAGTTCCAAGAAAGCTTATTTATTAGTGATATAACCTTGCTTTGCAAACAGAATGCAAGCGTTAACTTTGGTCTTCTGTATTTTGGGACTAAATACTAATTGACTAGCGTCCTGTAAACTTGCTGTAACATTTATGGCAACTGCAAGTTGCCCTGCTAGGCGGTCTTAATCTGGCATTAACTTATTTTCCATATCCAGTTTAATATGAATCTGGTGTTGATGCAATGCCTCAGTGATGCATTAGATCTCTAATAAAGTCTGTATATAAATGTACACTTTGATCCTGCTGGAGAATTTTATCAGCAAACACATTGTCTAATCTTTTGAAACAAATTTAAGGAAAGGACTGAAAGTACAGACTGAACTGTGTGGTTCTTTGAAAGGTTTGGGGTTTTTTGTTTTTTGTTTTTGTTTGGTTGTTTTTTTTTTTAATTTTGATTCTAAAATTCAATCTGCCTTTTTTTTTTGTAGATTTAACCATTTCCGTTTTGAACTGCTATTTGTATTGTGCTTTTTACTTGAGTCGTCCTCAATGTTAATAAGTTTCTGTACAGTGATAAGCACGCAGAATTCTTTAGAGAAAATACCAGTGTTGTTTTGGTAGTTGAAACTGAGACGTAACATTTTGCCTTGTAGGTATATTCACAATAGAAAATGTGTGCTGGAATTTCACAATGCTGCTAAGTATAGCATCTTGAACAACCTTCAGTGGAGAAAATGTAGATGCTCTTGTATATACGATAAGAAGTATCACTTTCATTAAAATGTACATATGTTCCTTACAAGAGCAAATGCTTCTTCTTGATCAAGAGAGCAGGTATAGTGTTCGTTTATTTTGTATTAGGTATGGAAGAAAAAAATTGGACTGTTACATGCACTTTCTTGGAAAGTTGAAAGGAAGGGGGGGGTCCAATTTCTTTAACATTTAATACTTACTAACAACAGAGATACTGTAATTTTACTCAAGTAATCAAATACATTTTTTTTGCAACAGATAAAACAAAATACTGTGTCTGTGTTTTTAGAGTGCATTTCTATTTAGCCAGGCCCTGAAATGTATTTTAACATATCCCCAGGCACCAGTAAATTGTTTATGCGTGTATCTCACTCTCTAAATAAGGAATTGTAAAAGGCGTAACAGAAACAGGTTTGCATGGGCATGTGTTTCCTTTTTCTTTCTTTCTTCCTTTTTTTTAAATTTGGAGAATCTATATATTCTCCCAATATCAATTACTTGCTTGGCCACTCTTCTTACAACCCCCCTGTCCCCCCAAAATAAGGACAAAAAATGATAGGAAAGAAAAAGTTGGTATTGGAGGGTCCATCCGACCAGGTAAGTTTCCTTAAGCGAGGCATTTGTGCCCACTGAGACTTCGGCTTTTTTTTTTTTTTTTTTTTTTTCAGCTGTTCCAGTTTCACTTCCCTTGATTCAGTCGTTTTTCCAGGCGGCTGAGAGCAGCGTTGCTGGAGAATTCCCGGTGCAGCGGGGGTTATATAATCTGACTCTGAAACTGGGCCTCAACCCAGAGAGGTCAACTTGGTCTTTATTTAATTAGTCTTTCAGGCATTTACACACACGCATATTTGAAAGAAAAGGTCCATTACAAAGGATGCGTAGAGTCAACTTGAACCTTGCATCATCAAAATTCAATCTGATTCTTCCTCTCCCTTTTGTTCTAGGGGAAACATGTTTTTCTCCTAAGCACTATTTTGGGGTAAGCAAACGGACGGGGTGGAACTTGGTGTCTAGAGGGGTCTGCGAATTTTTCCTTCCAGAGAGGCGGTGAATCGTCAGCAGCCGGTGGCCCTGCGCCCAGGTAAGGGAGAAGGGTCGTCGGGGCCACCTTCCAGTAGAAGTTTCCACCGGGGTGCAGGCCACTCAGTGGCCACTCGGGGCGCGCCTCTCCAGGCTGGGTGGTCTGGGGGCCCAAGCGGGGCGTGCCGGAAGGCGGGCGCTGATCCCAGCCAGGACAGTGCGGGGACTGGCGCCCCCCCAACCACCAGAGGGCACGGGCGGGGGTGTGCGCGGCGGTGTGCTGCCGGGCATCCTCCGTCGTTTCAGCACGCAATTGGTGTTTCTCGACGGCGCCGCTCCCAGGGAGACCCCTCTGCTCGAGAGTGGGGACGAGGCGAGAAGGCAGAATTCCGGCAGTTCTAGTTCTGTACCGGCCAGAGGGGGACGTTTTCACTGCGAAAGAGGCGTCCATCCTCCTCCCACGGCTGGGCGCGAAGATGACGGGGTGTCCGGGCCTGTGTGGTCTTAGGATCCGGGCGCTTCTCCCTGGACCGAGCCTGGGGACCTGTGGGGGCATCCGAGGGCTGCTGGCCACCGAGAGGGGCAAGCGCGCTCACGCACCCCCGCCGCCACCCCAACCCCGGCTCCACCGTCCCCGCGCCGCGCTCGCCTCTCCAAAA